ATCACTCTGCACTGCACAACTGGGGATCTGAGAGATTTAATTGGAATCCTTCTCAAGCATAGAACAACACAGCCTTAGTAACCAGTAACAAATCTGCAAATATTTTTAAATGGTACATTATAATTTGATAGGACATAATAAGCCAAATTTGCAAAAGAGGCTATATTTTATATTTTCATCTAAAATATTCACTGGCTTGTATACATGTGTAGCTACAAATGGAGAAGAACAAAAGACAAAAGCAGGTTGCAACCTTCCTCCACCTCAACATATGCTATAATTTTGCACATGTACATGTTAGGTATACATTTAATGCATACAGAGAAAGGAATTTGATGAAACCAACTCTTTTAAAAATCTGGGAGTGGTGATTTTTGCACAAGGAAAATACAGAAAGCTGGAAGTGTAAAAGTTTCTGTGTAAGTCTGACATTTCAAGAACTGCCCCACCGCTGGATAAACAACTTTCTACAATCTTATTCGGGGAAATGTTATACCCTGGTATCTTAGCTGTCATCTCACATTCCCTAAGGAGTTGTATATCCTCTGTGAGTGAGATTGGCACAGCAATGTCAGGGATATGGATGCTTAGTTCCCATTATTGTTGCTGAGGATCTAATCCCTTTTTTAAGGGATGTTAGCGCCTTCTGCAGATTTTGTGCCTTTTGGCTCTGTCGTTTATTCTCCCTACCTTTCAGTATTTCCAAGAAGTCTTCAATCTGCTCTTGAAAGGGTCTCTCACCATTGGTGCACTTTGTAATCTTTCAGTGAAAGCCCTTAAGTGGCTGCAAAAAAGCTACTTCTTACAAATGTTTTGACACACGCTTCTACCTGGAAAAGCCTGGAGAAGCCTGTACTGGAGAAAAACCTCAGAGGTAACAGAGAAGGAATATAGATTATTCAGATGATAGCACAGACATCAGGACAGAAAATTCTGAGCAATCTGCAAGGCTGTCTGAATTAGAATAAGTATTTGCACTATTCTGGCCCCTGGACCTCAGTAGAACTTCCTGACTGACAAATTTGCATTTGATCTTCTCCTTCTCGGGTGTGCTCCTTCCTCACCTTGTCTACACCAACATAAGAAAATAAAAAGTACCAAGACAAATGCGACAAATGCTTAAATAGAGTTCCTCCATCTCCCATGTTTATATTTTCTCTATTCAGATTAAGTATAAAAGAATTTAAGCATGGGTGTAAAAGCATACGTTCTCAGCCTCCAAACCAGGGAACATAACTTGGCTCCTTTTATTCACTACACACACAAAGGCAGTTAAAGGTTAAAATCTCATTCTGTGACATTTAACCATCTTTGCAAGGCACCCTCAGAACAGCTTGAGAAGGTCTGCTGCCCTGTAATGATTTCATAGTTAATACATTCACATATGTGTGTCCACATTTTTGTGTCTCTGTGCATACACAAAATGTTCATGTCACTGTATGGAACAGCTACAGCATCATTTTCAACCTTACTTAACGAGGCAATCTAGTACAGATGACAAGTTTCAGGACTTTGAATTATGTCTCTTCTTGTTCTTAGTATGGTTTTAACTGTCAATGTTAGTAAGTCGTAAATATGAGAATAATGCAATAAGGGCTACCACAGACACCCACTTCTATATTACTTTATTTTTGTTCTGTATTTAAAGTGTCTGCACATCTTCAAACATTTCCTTCCTCCTCACTGTCAGACACTGAGGCTCTCAGTTTTTATCTAGGTAAAAAGGACTGGCATTCTCTAAAAAGTCCTAGTTGCTTTTACTGAGTCAACTTCCATGTATCTGCAGTCATATAAAGACAGGGAAAAATGGAATTTTAAAACATGCTCTCAATATTCCTAAACATTCTCTTTTCCCTCTCTCACTGCTTTCTCCACAAACACTTATGCCCATTGGCCACAGAGAATATTAATAATTTGCAATATTCCATAGTGTTAGAATCAGCCCCCTAAAGATCAGTGGTGGTAAATCTTCCGGAAGAGCTTCTCCAGCCTTTTTTGAACACAGACACGCAGACAAGACACACACAGAGACACAGACACTCACACACAGCTGTTTTACAACTAATGTGCACAGTACATGTGCAGACCTGCCATGACCATGCCAAATACCCTCAAGTACATGTGATGCATGAGGGTCATGCTGGAAATTTGGCTTTCAAGCCTTCTAAAAATACTTTGCTGGCACTGTCACATCTGCTTTAGATGCCCAGTTCTCATGGCTGACACAGAACTGACCACAGACATTATTTATGTTCACTCACTCTCCACATAAAAACCCATGGTTCTGACCTAGAGATAACTTTTAAAACCTTCAAAGCAACTTGCTTAAAGCTGCTTCTTAATCCTCTCAATATTTAAGAAAGTTATTAACTTAATAATCAAACAAAATCCAACACTATCTTAGATTAATTATGGTGAAACCAATGGGTTTCTGTGCAACCTGAGATGCAATTGGATTTTTATTTTCCAGGTAGCAATGGACACGGGAAAAAACAACACATAAAGCATTCCTTCCTATGCAAAAGCTAAACAAATCTGCCAGAATTTAATTGCACTAAGGAGACTTTAAAACATAATTTTCTGTCTTCACCTTGGGATTACCTGGAAATAAAAATAGATTAAAAATACATCAATAAAGTTTGACATATAAAAACACTATGCATGTTCAAAGATAAGAAAACCATATTTCTACTGTTTCATATCCTATACAATCCTGTTGACTTCAGAATGCTTGACACTGGTGTACAGGATTTTGCTGCACATCCTGTAGGAGCACTGTGCAACAGAAACTCCATGCAGAAATGGTTGCATGCTGCCTGGTTGGTCTGATATTGCTGATACCTTTGACAGGACTACTTATTAGACCAGGTTAGCAGTACACAAGAGACTCCATTTATACCTATAGTTGTCTTCAGGACACTGATCATATGTTGTAGACAGCAGTTATAGTACATCCACCACATGCAATCACTTGACACTTTCTGAGAAATTATTAAAATCATTGCTTGAGAATGAGCAAAGAGACAAAGAAAGGGACCACCCTTTTAAAAATGGTAAGGATGAGATCACATCCTAGATCAAAAGTACATGGGAGCAAATTGCCTGACCCCAAATTATGGGCATAATCTCTTTTCTCTTCACTTCTCCACTATAGTCTAGCTTGACCTGTGATCCCTGAAATCAGCAGGAATTCTTATAATTTATTTTATAAAGTGGAGGAATCAAATGTTAAGCAAGTCTCTTTTATGGGCATCAGTAACTAATGTTGAGGGGAGATTCTCAGCATCCATCGTAGTTCTATGTAGCAGTTTCATGAAGGACTAGGATGTTCTATCTTAGCTCAGTAAACACTAAGGACCATGGTCCTACTCCACAAGTAGGACCATACACCTATTACAATTTTGCTATCAGGGATAATATCTCCTCAGGGAAATGTACCATATAGGTACATTTGCTCAGGCTAAGGGTGGCAAAACCTGCTCTGCAATCTTTGGAGGTGATTATGCTCTCTAGTTTATTCCTACACAACCTACTTCAAAAAGGTCAGGAGATTCTGTCCTGATTCTGGAAAGTATCCATTAGCACAGAATGAGAACCCTGTTCTTGCTATACATAAAAAATGAAGGAAATTCTTCCACTATGAACTACACCCACAGTAACACCTGTGTAAAGTAAAAGAAAGTAGCTGATGTATTTTCTTCAGATCACAGTGGTGCCTGTCATTTTTGCTCTTGAATTCTGGTACCTGAATGAAGTCTCTCAATGATCTTTGCTAAGATGCATTTGCCTTTTTTATTTGTTTGTGACATTTAAAAGCAATTTAGAGTTGAATGAGACTGCTTTGAGTTCAGCTTTATCATATTATGGAGACTCAGGACTTTGTTGCATCTTTCCATTCCCTGTCAACAGCAGCCCACAACTACAGGTGACTGCCTATTTTCCAAGTATAAGCACAAGAGAAAAAGAGCAGAGGTGACTGGATGGGGGGCAGCAGAAAAGTAAGTTAGGTCATTCATCAAAATGGTGAAACTCTTGACAAGGTGAACTCTTTAAAAGCCACGCTGCTCTGTAAATCTCCCCGAGCATTTTCTGGGTACTTTTCACTGACAGTGCTGAAAAAAAATGTATGTGCTGCGAGCAGAATCCTAAGGCAAATTAAAAGTTTAATTAGAGGATCAATTTCTCAGGAAAACATGGAAACTTGGAAAAGTGTCACCATATCCTAGATCACTACAGATAACAGGAAAGCAGAATCTAAAGCACAAAATCATAAAGGAGAGAGGAGAAACAAATAGTTACTAAGCTATTAGGGAGAAAGGCTAAGTTTGCCAGCATCTGAAGCTTTTCATGCTAACAAAAGGAAAAGGATTTTTCAGCAATTTTGAAGTGTCCAGATCTTTTGAGATCAACAAGTTAGACATCTAAATACTTATATTGGCCCACAGGTTTAACCAGCCTTTTATGGAAGAGCAAGTGAGAATAAAGATTATTAATTCACTTAATGGGGCAGGCACGATAGGGATGGGGAGCTGTGATGATTTCACAATCACAGGGTCCCAGGCTATGTCAGTGTGGTAGCAAGGTATGACTTTGCTTCTCACTACCTTGTAAGTGAACCCACCCATTTTTAACAACCATTTTTTCATAGCAAATACCTGTTTCTTAAGTCTGCCAAGATCAATTGAGAAACTCCATACAGTTTTCTTTTGGGAATTGATAACTTTTATGCTCATGGGCCTCTTTGAAAAAACCAAAGACATTAATTAAAAAAAAAATTCATCTTCCCAACACATAACATGCAATGCTCCAGAAAAATTCTAAAACCTCAAAAGGACTTCAGATTATCAAGACAATAATGTAGTGGGATCCAACCCTAACTGTTCTGTATTTTAAAGTCAATAGAATATAATGTGTAACATTTAATTGTTCTTTAACTAAATAAATGCAATTATTATTTTCCTAGTATTTTTTCCGAACAAGCTGAAAAATATACCTCATACCTACCCATGCATTCCTGCAATTACTGATGGGGCTGCTGATGGAAGATTAGAATTTGCTGGGTGAGTTGCTGACCAATGAACCCTGCCAGAATATCCAAGAATATCTGGAGTGCTAAAGGAAATAGTTAAAAGGGGGATGGGATAGAGAAAGGGTAAATTAAATGACTATAGGCTTGTCATATGACTTATAGATAAGTTCTAAAATGGATAAGGTTTATCAAAGATGGATGGGGTAAAATCTCTTAATAATAAAATGAGAAGTGCTTAGAATGTATAAACTATCATAGCTTCTTTAAAGTCAGGGAAACAACTTTATGATGATCTTGCTGATGATCTGGGCTCAAATCTCTGGTTAGACATTATAAAATTGAGCTCTTTAGGCAATTCTTTTTTCTTCAATCTTCTTAGGTTTAGTATCTGTATAATATTCATGATTAGAAGCAACATTTAATCACAAAGAAGAAATGAAATCACAGAGTTTGCATAGACCACAAAAAGCAAGGACATATTCTTTAAACATGTGATACAGATTTAGCTCATATTTAGTTTCCAGCTTCAAATATGAAATTTACATAACAGATTTCAAGCCAACAGGTGTGATTTCTCATGGGCTAAAACATAAATGATTTCCCAAATTATTCTAAGGTTCTCTAAATTTTCCTTAAGAATTTATTAAGGTGTAGTAGTAACAACACTGCTTAGAAACCCACTTAAATTCTAGTGTGAGTGAACCACTGATCTGAGACAGTATGCACCCCATCTTGGAAAATGAAAGCCTTTTGTTAATTCTGATGCTGTTTTAATGTGTAGAGTAAAAAAACTCTACTTATCTGAAGCAGCACAAAGAAAATTTTGATAACAGTCATTTCAAGATGAAGCAGAGATGCACAAAATTAAAGAAAAAATAGGTAATATGAATTCAGATAAACCATGAGTATTAGAAATAAAACAATATAAAGCCTCAATATAGTACCTTTTTTGCAACTAAAAGTTTTTCAGAGTATCATTGATATTGTTCTGTATTGACATCTTAAAGTAGGACATTGTTGGACTATACAATTAAACATAGGACACACATATGCATATACATCCAGACTGCCCATACCCATGGAAGTAAAGGCTTACAACAAGCTGTTTCATCAGCTGACTCAACTAAATATTTGGGATTATACACCTCACCTCTGTTAGTCATTTGTGGGTCTTCACACCATATAGCACTGATAGCAGTGCTTCCTTTCAAATAATTTCTCAAGTATTCTTCATCTTCCCTGAACTCTCTGTAAAAACAAACAATTTCTTTAATTATTAAGTGCATAGAGTTACTAGTATCATGCATGTATTACTAGTATCATGCAGCTGATGAGCTCCTTCTCTATAACTAAGTTCAGCAGGGGATGCAAAAATGGACACATGTGAGAGATACAGTTTATCAGACTTTGTGTATCTCTGACTTTTGCAGTGGGAAACTTGGCTCTGAAATTCCTCACCAGAACAGCAGAGGTAATGACAAAAAGTGGTATCTACCTACCAGAGTTATAACACAGGACTGTATTTGGCATGGGAGCATTGGTGATATCTGTTGTAGTCCTTGCACCCATAGTTAGCAGAAGGACCACCTAATTATCTATTTCAGTTTGGAGTAACCTTGCACTAGCCCATACCTTCATATACTGCTACACTCCCTGTGCCATGCTCCAGTCTATGATTCTCCAGAGAGGATGGCTTTGTAGAATCAGTACAGAGGTTGTGGAGCACTTGGGAAGCTGTTGCCTATACGGAATCACTGAGTAGTTGGCCGGACAAGGAACAAATTTGCTCTCTGTCTTGACAGCAGCTGTGCAGGGGCAACAAGTGGCTTGAAAACTTCCTACAGTAGTAGAACATGTTTTCAGAATTGGCCAAAATGGGTTGCATTCAAATTTGCTTTTTCATGTCAAAGTAGACAACTGTTAGGCTAAGTGCACATTACGTGACTGTAGAAAATTCTTTCTGTCTATCAGAATCCCACCAAGGGACACAATGGATATTGGGTTGTTGTGACTGTAAGCACAAAAATTCATCCAAAACTGAAAATGTATCTGAAGGAATGTGTACCACTCTGAAGGAATCAGTTAAACTTCGAACCCAGTTTTATTACCCTGGTAATGTGCTATGTAGCAAGATATGTCTGCCACATGTCATGAAATTCCAGTGATGTCCTTGGAAGTGTATGGGGGTCACAAAGAGAAGTAGATGACAACAAGAAGTCCTATAGTAGCTTCCACCATTTTATGAGCCTATTTGAAGTTAAATCAAATAATAATTATACTGTTATCATAATTTTATATATTATATTAACTATATAGTTTAATATTATATAAAATACTTTTTATATTTTATACACTAATATTTCTATATTAATATATTAACTGTATTCTTATGCAGTTATATTATTATAATAATATAATTATAACTATATAACTGTTAGGAATCTGATTGATAAAATCTTCTCACCTTTGAAACTTGCAAAAGTAGAAGACAAAAGCGTCATAAATGGGCAAATGTGACCCAAAAGTCAATCTGAGAAATGACCCAAGGTGAAGACTTGTTCTAGACTGTCTGTTAGAAACAATTGAAGCTGGTACATTCATAATATGTGGGATGAATATGGATCTGTAAAAGAAGAGAGCTGAACAGAGAGAAGCTAAAGGTAGCAGGAAAGTAAGCAAGGTTACACTACTGCAAAGCAGCTGCTCTCCTGGGAACCTGCAGAGAAGATGCAAAACTGCGCTGCGGTTATGTAGGTGATAAAGCAGAAGAAACTGAGGTTAAAAAAGTACCCCTTTGTGTTTTTGTTTTTTTGGATCAGGCCGTCTAGCTCTTGTGCACTTTCTCTGATGAGCTGCTAACCTATTGCTGCTGCTGAAGAAAACAACTAAGTGCCAGCCTACCACTGGGCAACACACAAAACTCCTCTGTGGTTGTGCTGCCGTCATCAAGCTTTCTTTCTGTAACCATGACATCTTTCTTGTTCATACACTTCCTTGTTATCATCCTAGCAGCTCTTAGTCAACAGTAACAAATATATAGCGCTGACAGTTGAATCTGTGCAGGCATTAAGATTTTTCAAGTGAATTGTAGTGATTCTGGTGGCCTCTGCGTTGGTGTGCTTCTGCTTTTTATGTCCATAGAATCATGGAATCACTAAGGTTGGAAAGGACCTCTAAGATCATCAAGTTCACTGTTAACTCAGGACTGCCAAGCCCACCCTAAACCATGTCCCCAAGTGCTACATCTACGTATGTTTCAAATGTCTTCAGGGATGATGGCTCCTCCACTTCCCTGGGCAGCCATATTTTCTTGTCCTGTTGCTGGTTACCTGGGAGAAGATACCGACCCCCCACCTGGCTTTTGGGTAGCTGTGAAGAGGGATAAGGTTCCCCCTGAGCCTCCTTTTCTCCAGGTTAAACTAATCCGGCTCCCTCAGCCTCAGAAGACTTGGTGCTCCAGACCCTTCACCAACTTGCCCTTCTCTGGACATGCTGCAGCACCTCAGTGTCCTCCTATAGAGAAGGGCCCAGAACTGGACAGTGGATTTGAAGTGCAGCTTTACCATCTTGGCATGTCTTTGTAGATTTTTATTTCCTGGCAATGATCAGGAAGATCAATATGGATTTAATTTAGCAGGCCCTCCATACTGATATTTAGAGCTATTTGAGACCCCTTAAGGTCTCTGAGATAATTTTCTGTAACACAGGACTCACAGGGGATACATATTGTTCAGAAGCAGCAGCTGGAAGTGATGATCTATAGTGCCTCCAGGGTATTGGATGCCCAGGTTTGCCATGTAAATTCCACACCACCTGTTTGTATGGGAGTAAAATACAGATTTTCCCCAAATAATCTGTAATTCCTGAAAACCTTGGATCTAGCGCTTCAGTTTGAGCAATGGAGGTATCCCAGCTCTTTGTGGAAAAATTCTATCTAGTGGGATACCCAGTAGATTCTTACCTTAACACTTACAAGCAAAGAGTTCCTAACACCCTTCTCTTCCTTATAAACACCCCTGTAAAAATGCAATAGAACTAAATCACTATATGAAGTCATTATGCTTCTTCTGGTTTTTGCTACTATAGAATAGGCCGCTCAAATCTCACTCACAGTATATAAAGCTGTATAACAATTGGTTTCCACCTCAAATTCTCTTCCAAATGTAACACATTTGTGCCCTTGTACATCCTTTTTGCCTCTGTGATATTATTTGCCAAACAGAACAACCTGTGGTAAAAATGTCTCAGGCACAATCCTGTGTCAGGAAATTCATACACTCCTTTGTGTTGTGAAAGAACATTTCTAGGATTACTTGTGAAGACAAAACAAAGTGCTTTAATGCAGAGCAGAGAATAGGACCGACAGCATTCTGGGTTTCATTTCACACCCATCTCCCTCAGCCATCAAAGCACAATAGGGAATGGGTACTTAAAAATGGGTTTGGGGTTCCTGAAAAGATAAAAACATCAAATCGCAACTCCCTCAAATATTTTGAATCATGTTGAACTGGAAAACTTTGTTCCTACAGTTTCAAACAATTTTATTCTGCTTTCAAAATTTTCAGTCCCCCTTTGTAGTATGGGGCAATATTTTTCAGACACAACAAAGCATTTCAAGGCAGCAATAAAATCTCATTTGGAAAAGGCCAAAGTAGGATATTTCAACACACACTTGCCTCCACAGTCCCCTGAACGAGTCAAGCTGGAGAACTACTAAACAGGCATGTATGGTAGACAAGCTGTCAGTTTCTGAAGAAAGAATACTTTGTGAGAAAGCTCCACAGCAGCCCTTGGAAATGACTGTGCAAGGTGCAGGACAGCAGAGGGTCCTGTTCTCAGCTAATTGAGGCCTGTAGGGCTTCTGATAACTTGAATTTCCAAGGGATACATGCACATGGGCAGTTGGAAACTGACTACACTCAAGAAATATGCAAAGTTACTACAGATGTACTGATGTGATAGTAGCATTTTGCTCAATGTGCTTGAGAAACCATGAATAAAGGGTAGTTGCAGAGAATATCTTTGTGCAAGAACTGCAGGACTTGAAACACTTAGGACTTTGTCTTCCCAGCAACTGCATGCTTCCCATTTCAATCAAATGCTTTTGATCAGATCCTGTTGTCTTCCTCACACACCCAATGCCTCTGGCACTGGACAGGTCACTTCAGCCTTGTCAATCTGTACCTGTCAAAAACCAGCATTGTAATCTGTTTTACCAGCGTTCTGGCAATGCATTAGCTGATGTTTCAAAAGCACTGCTGTGTAACTAACCCTTGGTGAGAATGCTCATGCATTGTGTAAGCACTGCCCTCTACCGTGGATTAGGAGAGCTGAGGAATGAGTAGAAAGTTTTGAAAAGATGATGACTGCCCCATTTTTTACTTAATTGAGGAGGCAGAGGCTTGTACTGCAGAACAAGAAAACATAATCACTGTCCGAACTGCTTTTGTCAAATGCCAAGAGCAGATTCCAGTAGGCACAGCAGTGAATCAGGAAGTTGTTGTAACACCAAAGACACACTAAAGAGAGAAGCACAAGTCAGACACAGGAAATAAACCTGGATTGATATGAACTGTTGCTGTGCATGGTGGAACGCACTAAATGTGTTACAATATTACTACATTAAGTTCTGCCAGCTCACTGAAGGGTAAGGGAGCTCTAACAATATCTGGGAGAAGAGTTATCTGTGCCTGTCAGGCCAGAGCCCAGCCCCTGAATGCTGCAGAGGAAATCCCCATCACCAAAGCGTGGGAGGCTTTTTTCCATTGACCCTTAAAACACCTGCAGAATCTAAAATACCACATAGAGCATAACCTTGTTTCAGTAGCTGACTGGGGAAGAAGCCGACAGAGGAAAAATGCTGGTGGCCGGGGTGAAGTAGAATTATACAAAATAAAACATGCATATAAATATTTTTAAGAACAGCAGATGATTATGTTGGAAACCCACATGATCCAATAAAAGCAGTTCATCTACAGTTTTCAAAATTGTTCAGTTCAAAATGCACTTCTAAATAAGAAAGACAGTATTTCAAAGTAGTTGTTTATAAAAAGAAACAATGATTTGGGTCATTAGTTATTTTCACTTTTCAATAAAATGGCACCTCTGAAAAGTGCTTAGAGAATTTATCAGTCTGAGCCTTCCTGGAAGTCACTGTAGCTCTGCTGCAAAATTTCCTCTGAAAACACAATGTTTTTCCAGTATTTGGGCAGTCCTCCTCTTCCTTGGTGCCTATGTGGGTTGGAGCAGCAGTTAGACACAGGAGATCAGATTGTGGTGTTTGTGGCCAGATTTTCGCAGGATCTTAGCGATCAACGTGCACCCAGAATGTGAGCTCTTTCAGAATTCTGGTTTTCATGTGTGGTTGCTGAACTATTTTTGAAAGCCTGGCTAGCTGCACAAAACATACCCATTTAGCACTCAGTTGCTTACCTAGCTAGTATATGGGTAGTTATGTGACATATAAAGCCAAATGCTGTATTCATCTTCCACAAATAATATTATAAGGGAATTATTAACAATCAAACTACTAAGAAACAAAGCAAAAATAACCAAGGAAAACAGACACAATCACTTCAGAGTTTAAAGTCTTGTAAAAGAAATCCAAGAGGCCTCAGCTCTGCAAAATATGTGAAGAGATTTTCAATCCTATCCTCGTTCAGGAAATCTGGTTAAGCAGATACCTTTAATTCACTGATTACAATGGAATTTACACTTCATGGGTTTGAAAAAACAAGAATGCAAATACAAGAGATTTTACAGTTGGCAGACAAGTAGAGAGGGTAGGAAAAAAAAGAAGAAAAAGAAAGCATGGATTTTAAAAATGGTGCATTTCAAAATACCACAAAAGCCACTTGAGCCACTGGGCAACTGTTATCCAGTATATCTATAAAAATCACACAAGCAACATACGTTGAAAATAGAAAAAGATCAATGTATTCAGCTTGAAACATACCTCATTAATTGTTGGAATAAAAAGATAAGTTTCAAGCCTACACCACACGTGTTCTGACAAGGTAACCTACTCAAGCACTGAGCTGTACAATGGGATTATTAGTTTTCTTAAAATTTTTTTGAGGTCTCTTGGTGAAAGAGGACTCCATCAGAGAGAGATTTTCAGAATGCTCTCCCACAACAGCCTCCTAAATTTTTGACTGTCACTTTCAAAAAAGTAACTTATCTCTATGTTACCCTTGACAAAGATATGGTAGAAGATTCCAGCTTTTAGGCATACATTGCAGCATATCTGGGGATGAAAAAAGCAACAAATTAACTCTAAAGGAAATTCAGTACTGCATATACAAACCATGTATATTAAGAATGATGCTAGATTCCAGGGCTAGAACAGACCTCAAGAGACTATGCCATTCATTATTTTCCCCAAAGACACGTTTTAATAAAAGCCTGGAAGAGAAAGAGAAGAACTGAATTATGATCCAGGATTTTTGGTCAAGTGCAAAGATGACCCAAAGCTCTCTTTGGGCCATTTTCACAGATTATTCTAGACTGCCACCAGATTACCCACACAGTTATTAATAAATTCATATTCATAAATTTAGCACTTCTAGATGAATCACAATATTTATGGCATGGCTTTTTACATGTGCTGCAAGCTCCCACAGTTATTCCATATCTGAATGACTGAGAAAAGCTGGATGACACATGATTATGATTCCTAAATTTTCATTTTTATTTCAGCCTAATTTTTAAGAAGTATGACCATCACTTTGTCCTAATTAATATTATATGAAACCAAGTTTGAGCAAAGAAATATTTTAAAAGCCTAAATATGAGAGTTCAGTTTAAAAAACAGTGTGTATTGGCTTAGGATATGTGAAGCATTTTTCCTAACTGTGCTACAGATTCCCAATGGGAATTTGGTGAATGACCTTATCACATTGCCCCTGGATTTACATCTGTAAGACTTCCAAGTTGCATGGTAAGGACTTCACAATATAATCTAGAGTGCTGGATATACGTACAGCAGCTCTTCACAACACTGATCTTGTATTAGGCGCTTTTAGGCTCAACTACAGCTCAGGTTAAGACTTTTATCTTTTTTCTAATTCCTTAAGAAAAAAGAAAAACAGAAGATGGTTTCCTGTTCTGCCAAAAGGAAGAGAGGGTGGGTGCAAGGCTACCAGAAAAAACATGCCCAGGTTCACCACTCTTCCTGTTTGTCTCTGCAGCTACATGACAGATGACTCTTAGTGACTTTCAGCTTTGCTTATAATTTGAATGGCAACCACTTTCTTGCATGGTTTGGGGAAGAACAGTGTCTCACTCTGGAGTAATGCCCGGGCACTGATGCTGTTGCCCAAGTGCTGCAAGCAGGAAGTGCTGCTGCTACTCTGTGAGAGTGAAAGTGACTATTTACTAAAAGAGCTTTACACTTTATATTTACGAATCATATTTAGACTTCTCAATTCAAAGTATATATCTGACTTTTCAAAGATTTTGGTTGAGTTTAACGGCCCCTACACATGTTTCCAAAATTACTGGCGAACACATGAAGTGAGAAAAACAAATTATAGGCAAAGTTTATGCCTTCTGACTTCCTTCTTTCTTCTGCTCAAAATCATAGCAATCTTTATGTCTGACAGTCATGGATGGATAACAAGTGTGAAAAACTTCCATTTTCCAGATGGAATTGAGTTTATTACGACTGGGGTTTTTTTGAGCTTTATGATGTCATAATCCTTTAAATCTCAGAGATCTTGGTCTCCCTGTTGCCAGAAATCAATGAAAACAGAAAAATGAGATGCAAGATTCCAGAGAAGGCAATATAGAATCACTTGCTCAGACTTACAAATCCTCCATGTGATGCAAATAGTCCCAGATAGGATGTCTGCCTGCAACAGAGTGCACACATCTGCTTCTCTTCTTCAAAGTTCCACCATAACAGCAGTACAACCTAGCAGAACTGAGGGTTAATGACTTTATAACTTCACCACAACCCAGACAGCACTATGCTGTATTTTGTATGTGCTGTATTTTGAAAGCACAGCCATTTCTCAATAACCATTTTAAACTGTTTTTGTCATAATTCAAGCAGAAAAGTTAGATGTAGGCTGTGAGAAACCAGATGACTTGTGCAGAAGGTGAGATAAAATAATCAGAATGGTGCATTATGTCATAAAAACTTGGGATTAATAGTCTTGTTTGCAGTAATATGGATCAAATGTTACCTTATAATCTTACAATAATTAGCACCTCACTTTACCTGTGAATCTGCTGCTGTATGAAGAATGATGTGCTGTTTCCCACACAGGTAACAGCAGGTGATGCACTGCAAAAGGATATACATTCACCCTGAAACAGATGTAAGAAACAATAAATGAACAGATCCAAGTTGTAGCTCAAAAATTCCAGCTACTCATAGGGCAGTTCCCAAGAACCAGGAGTGTTTAGCACATGCTCTGATGTGAGTAACACCCAGCATCAAGTCTTTCCTTCAGAACAGGGAGGGCAATATTTCTACAGCTTCTGACCCTCTGCTTTACCCAGTGAAGTATCTTTTCTGTACTTTCCTCACAAATGTGAGCTGGAGAAGACCATTTTAAGGACACACAGGAAAGGCTGATGCAAAGAGAAATCCCGTTTAAATAAATTAAAAAAAAAACAGTCTAGTTTCTCTCTTGTTTTATTATTTTAATTCTTATCATTAAGCTGCTATTTTGCCATTTCTCAAAAGTTTGCAAATAAGCACTTAATATCAGCTCAAGCTACTAAAGACAGGTTTAGGAATGGCTTAAAGTGAAAATCTTCAAAGTTAATGATCTAGCTAAAAATATAGTTTTCCAATAGCACTCAGGGAGCTTTTGCACACTCAAAGGCCATCTAGTGACTAAAGTTAACAATCACACACATTTGACATGGCAATATTCAAATCATATTACTCATCAAACATGCAACAGATCATTATACTAAAGAATTTTGGAAACATTTTAAGTATGAAAGTATGGCACAGTTTCTAAATAAATATGTTTCCATTTTTTTCACCCAAGATCAGATTTTTACCAGTTTTTCCCTTTTCCCAAGTAACAAGAATGCAAGAGGAAATGTCAAAATCATGCTAAGAAGTGAAACACAGTGTGCAGTGCTTGTGTAGTGAGGTTTGGAAGTTTGAACATGGTTAAGTAGGACTAAGTCTACATCAGCATTGCCTTCAAAATTTACTGCAGTAACACAGCAGATAGAAAGTAAATCAAAGGCATGTACATTATTCATAAGACAGCTGGTGGAGGCAGCTGAACCATACGCTGCATGCTCCAAAATTCTAGTTATTTATTAAAATGGTCCACAAGAAAAGAACACAGAGATGAATGGCCCTATGTGCTTGGCATATCCCAAGATGAAAGCAATCATCTGCTGAACTTGCAGCACATAAAGACTGACAGCTCTAATGCATATGTTCAGAGAGGCTTGGGGGGAAATGGAAATGAGACAGAAATGTGTGATCTCTCGTCTTTTTGGCTATTCTTATCATCAGACTGGGCTACTCTTGCAAAGTGGACATACAGATTCTGAGTTCTAGTTTATAGGTAAAAAATTGGAGATACCCACAAGCAAAGGAGACTCAGCATACACTCTCCTCTGCCACCAGAAAATGCCTTAAGTTCAAATAATATAGGCCAGCTACAATTCTTGTGTCAGAAAACGAGAGAGGGACTGCTTGGGCTTAATCAAAAATGGCAAAAGTTGAAACAACCCAGGGACACTGAACTTACATATACAAAGGGATTTGACAGGTTTAAGAGCTTTGGCTTACACTTTTAAATACAAAATGGATCAATCACTTTTTTTTTTTTCACCAAACAGAACATTCTGATGGAATATTTATGAGGTCCCAAAAGACAGGTGGTGACAAGTCAAAGTTTTGCTCTTGGAATAATACAGTGCTCATTTGAATTTGGTAAAAGACTGTGGCAAATATTTAGTTTGGCATATATGCTAAATGAACCAGATCAGCAGGCAGAATCTTATCTTTTAACCTCTGCTGATATTAGGGCTTCAGTAAATTTCATAGGACAGTATAAGCAAATTTTCTTTAAAATTTAACTACTTCCCTTCTAGCAACACTTATTTCACTGAGTTCTTGAGAATACAGGACAATTTAACATCAGGTCTGAATTTCTTTCTTGGTCTGTCCCTGCAACCAGCTCTCACCATCCACAACTATATTCCCTTGAAAGAGCGTCATTCAGGAAACCATGATAACATTATTTATCTATCATCTATCTATCTATCTATCTATCTATCTATCTATCTATCTATCTATCTATATGCCTGACTCTGCCCAGAAACTCACCTATCCATTGAGTTTGCCTGAGCAAACCTTCTGACTCATAGTCTGGAAGGGAGACATATTCTTATTTTTCCATCGTACTTTGACCAACTTTTCTTTATTTGTCTCAACTTAGCTCTTATTTGACCCCTTTTAAGACTTCTGTGACCTTTTCTTGAACTCATCTAAAATGCTTCACTCTAAGATAGATTTGAATAGATGAAATACAGAGTAAATAAAAGACACCAATGTAGAAGTGATAGTTTTGGACAGACAGCAAAAACTCCCTTGAGTTAGTGCGTGGGTACGATTACCATGGTGTTTTCATAGATGTCATCTCTTAATGCAAACATCAGATGTAGGAAATCATTACAATCATTACCTTTACATGTTTCTTCTGTTCTGCTTTTTATATTTAACTCTCTCACAGGAGAAGCATGCAGAAAATATTTTTTGATACAGTCATTAACTGAATATCTTAATTTCTCTAGTTGCAGAATGCTGCTGAATTTAGTCTGCTGAGATAATTAACTGCCCACAGACTTCGTAAAGGACTGTTCAGACAACTCCAAGATTCACAAAACCTGAAATTTACAGACCACCAGATCTCTGTGGAGAGGTAAAAGATCTTGTTTGGAATCTGTCCCAGAAGCCTCCGACATCCTAAAATCATAATTACGTGCTTCTTGTATGCAACATTAGCAAATTAATCTGACTTAACAGTTTCTTCAGGCAGCAATCAGAATCAATTGTAAGAATGAATTTTAGTTTTATTAAAAATAATAATTGTTACAGTTAATAATCACACGTAAACCAACTTAATGTGAGATTTGTTAAGGTAGATAATTCGTATCAACCAATTTTTCATCAATATCCTTGTACTCTGTTTTGACATTTTGCATGCCTGTCTTCTGTATCAATTTACAGGGAGGGCCAGGAAAAAAATATGAAACATGAAATAATGTGAGGCAGTTACTGGCATGTGGTGGTGACCCTTATGTGCACTTGGGATTATTTTTACTTGAAAATATTTTTGTGGGTTTATTTGTATGCCCTACACAAAATTTAGGCTCCCTTTCATTAGCACACCTAAACACAGTTACAAAGAAATTGTTCACTGACTTGGCTTATTTTAGGTTTGGGATTGTATCTTCTTTTTGTGAAATACTGGGAAACAGCATCATCCAACATCTCCCCTGTTGATTTTGGAGGCTGTATTTTGGAAGAAAACATATTATCCCACGGAACTCCTTTGTAAGCCCTAGATCAACAAATTTTTTAAAAAGTAGAGAAAAAAGTTCCCATATAATCATTAATGAATGACACTGGCAGATAGATATAAGGACTATGTGATGTAGATGTAGAAAGTAACAAAAGTATAGACTTCTTTTTCAATGGGAAGTGAAAAGCTGGGGATTATAAGCTGCTTGCTAGGGAACAAGTAGTTACTGCACAGGATTTTTCACAGGATTGTCTTCTTTAAAATGGTGTCACTCCCCAAGTGAAAGAGGTAGCATCTCCTCCAATAAGCTTACAGTGGTGAAGGGATTTATTTTGTCTGAACTTGAATAATCAGTTAAGGGAGAGGAGACATAAGTAGAGACTGGATACCAGGCACATCGTGCTCCTGACAGGTGCTCAAGACAGATGTACAGCATGCCCTTTTGGAAACTACAGTTTCTCTTCACTGTCTACAGGGGAAGTGGAGATGAAAGGATAAAAGCTTCTAGATAACTGAAGTTCATGAGATGAATCCTATGCTAAATGCCATTAAACAACAGAAATTCTGATTGCTAGAAAATTTTTTTGTAGTCTTGTATATTCTGCTACCTAAAAGTGCTTAGTAGCACCTTATAAGATAAAAAAATGAAGTAAAAACAAAAGCAAAAACGGTTTTAAAAAGAAAGAGCTAGTATTTGACTTGTAGACACTGTGCATTGTTTTTGACCCTTGTATTTTATAATTAGGAATATTAACTTTAGTAGGCCCAGCAACAGTTAATGCCAAATAAAAGACTTTCAAATTACTTTTCCAGATTCTTTCATTTGATTCTTTGGTTAATTATTCTATTTCTCTTTATATACAAATGCTAAAGATATTACCATTACTTCTTGTCTCTCTTTTAGTCTTTTGAAAGTAAAGGCTACAAATGACTCCCTGAAACCTACTTGCAACTAAGCATAAACCTCACCAGTTTATATTGGAGAGAACATGTGTGGCAAAATAAGCAACAGAAAAAAACATAAGTTGTTTAATTAACAACAAATTATTCTGCTATTGGGCAAGGAAGAACAAATGCAAAGTGAAATATATGAACTGTAAGCATGATAAATAATCTAACCCTTAGTGAAACAACAATTGTTTTATTCAATGGCACTCAGCCTTAAAGAGATTATTTCAAGTTTTTTACATTATTTCCAGATGACCTATTAACTTATTAGGCAGTATGTTATTACACATTTTCATTGTTTTATGGGTATTTAATAGCACAGTTATTTTTGAATATGCTGTAGGACATTTTTCACAAAATCAAAAAATAAACTGACTTGGAAGGGACCCTCAAGGATCATCAAGTCCAATTCCTGGCCCTGTACAGGACCATACCCAAGAGTCACACCATATGCCTGAGAGCATTGTCCAAATACTTCTTGAAGTCCCTAAGGCTGGTGCTGTGACCACTGTCCTGGGGCCTGTTCCAGTGCCCAAACACCCTCTGGGAGAAAAACCTTTGTCTAATATCCAACCTAATATCCCCTGACTCAGCTTTACGCCATTCCCTCAGATCCTGTCACTGGTCACCACAGAGAAGAGATCAGTGTCTGTCCCTCCTCTTCCCCTCCTGAGGAAGCTGTAACTGCAATGAGATCTCCCCTCAGTCTCCTCCAGGCTGAACAGACCAAGTGACCTCAGCTGCTCTGCAAAAGGCTTCCCCTCCAGACCCTTCACCATCTTTGCTGCCCTCCTTTGGACGCTCTCTAACAGTTTCATTTCTTTTTTATATTGTGGCTCCCAAAACCCCCAGCACTCAAGGGGAGGTCACCTCTGTGCAGAGCAGAGCGGGACAATCCCCTCCCTTGTCTGGCTGCGATGCTGTCCCTGATGTCCCCCAGGACACACCTGGCCCTCCTGGCTGCCAGGGCACTGCTGGCTCATGTTCAGCTTGCCATCAAACAGGACCCCCAGTTTCTTTTCCATGGCACTGCTTTCCAGCATCTCATTCCCCAGTCTGTTCATACAACCAGAGTGCAGATTCCATCACTTTCCCTTGTTGAACTTAATTTGACTGGTCATTGTCTGGACATCTAATTTGTCAAGGTCTGAAAGTTTGTAAATAGTTCACTTGTTTTTCAAGTTGCACATTTCTTTTCACTTTACTTTGCATTTTTTTGTTTCTGATTAGACTTTCTTCTTTCTATTTCTACAGGCAGTCAGAACTTTTAACTTACTAAGTACCTAAATACTGCCTAAGGTAATTTTCTATCAATATTTGAAATGGAAAAGAGGCTAGAATCCTGCCTTGAGATACCTCTCAGTCAATGTGATGATTACTTCTCTGGAGTAATGATTACTGTGGAGAAAATGCTTACTGCTTCAGCAGAGGAACCACTGGGTTCCCTATACAAAGGCCACAGGGAAATTAACATAATATGGCAACAAATATTTCACTAAGTTCTGCATTAAATTCTCCAACTGAGCCTCTTAAAGATACAGTAGAAGAAAAATAAGATTTTCTCATGGATAAATAATTGGTTAGAAGATCACAAATAGAAGGAAAGGATAAATAATCAGTTTTCCAGGTGGGGAGAGATCACTGGTAGAGAGACCTCCACATAACCCATCTGGGCCTACGACATTTTTGCCTAACATATTCACAAATTAGCTGTAAGTAGGGAGCTGGAATGTAAGTGATGTGCTCAAAAAACAAATGTATATATTCATGAAGACAAATCTTTGAATCCATGACTATTAACTAAAACACACGATCTCCTGGTCATCAATCCCTGCTCAACAAATCATCTCATGATAGCAAAAAATTTGGAGGAAGGATGATGACTTTACCAAATATCCACAGTTTTGGATGAAATGCTGGACTACATGGGCTTTTGGAGAAATCAAAAAATCTAATAGCAGCATGAGTAAACTACTTATATCTTTTAAAAATGGTTACTACCAAGTCTATAAGTTAACTATAGTATTTCCTATTTCTCATTTCCCAGCTTTGGAGAAAACTGTGTCTTTAGATGCGTTAGCTTCCAGCAGGGGCAAGAAATCATCTCTGCTCTTTATCAGACTTGTCAGATAACCTGGTTCATTCTGCAATCCCCATAACCTCTGTGTTAAGGCCTACAAATAGAACAATATCTACAAACTGGGTGGCAGAATTAATCACCAGGTCTTCAGTACAAATACGCCTGCATGGTTAAATTCTGAGGTCATCGTCCTCCTAACCACTGCAAAGAAAAATTGAGACCACAGAGAAAACGGTAGAAAATTCTGTTGTCATATGAGTGAGAGAAGGGGACTCTACAGGCAAACACTATTAAGGCCTGATCTTCTAGCACAGAGCACCTCCCCTGCATGGAATAAATGGAGAATAGCTCCTCAGCTGTTGTCCTTTCTCTGATTCTTCAGTCCTAGAACAACCTTCTTCACCAGCTTCTCACACTTGCTTTGCTATTACAGAACTTCGCAGAGTTTGCTTTGCTCAGCAGATGCAAAAGTCTGCTAGAGAAGTTCAAAGTTGTGGACTGCCAAAGCCACAGTGCTACATCTTCTCACAACAGAGAACTCTGTCTGCTGCAGATGTTTTATATACCACAGCTCATCTGTCTCAAAGGCTGTTTCTCTCTCTTTTTTTTATGTTCATCCCAGACACAGTGGAGAAAGTGACTGTAGAATTTGCTTACAAAATGGCTGACTGATCTCTCTTTCAGCACAACTTCCCCAAATGACTTAGCTGTGGAATGTCTTGGGACTGGTATCTAGAAGGGTAAGCAACTTACATCACATGCCTGAGGGCTGGTAGTTGGGGTCTGAATCATACAGCTAAAATCTGGAATTTGTTTATGCAGTCACGTTAAAAATAGTACCTAAAACCCCATCTACTTTTTACATTAATATTTACACATTTGAAGTTAATATCTCAGCATCACAGAAAGCTTGTAAATGCATATTAGGTTTGGAAGAGCACTTACACCATTTCCTTAAGAAATTTATGCTGCACTATATCTGTTTCAAGGTTTGTCCCTGAGTTCAGTTTGACTTTTCCTGACAACTTCATCAGGGTCAGCATTTTAGTCTAACAGTGACCTTTCCTGAACAAAATAACATCAGAAAGCCACCAGTTTCTATCTGCTTCCTGGAACTACTGTCCATTTCAGAGCACTTTCTCGACTGTAACCCAGATTACTGACTTGATGTCACTCAGTTTCAGGTTTTGTCTGCGTTCATTTCAGGTGTGTCTCTATGGGCCAGAGTATGTCTCTCTCTGCCTGCTTTTCTTTGCATTGGAAAAATTATTGGGCAGATAAATTGCTTATCTCAAATCTTCCTTCCTCTTCATTTTTCCAGAGGCTTGCAGAGAAAAACAGCGGAACATTTTTGACTGATGCCCGTGGTTTAATTTTCATATGTAAATGAAGAAAACAGTAAATGAAAAATAAGAGTGAAAATTACATGATATGGGGAAAAAAAAAAGAAAAAAAAAAGAAAAAAAAGAAAGGAAAATTATGTAGTTTGTTTTTTATCCCTTGTGGTTTCTTGGGTTCCTTACAGTTCTTTTATATGGCTGTATTAAGCAAGAAGTGTTTTAAAATGCAAAGTTTGTACAGAAACTGGGAACCAAAACCACTGCCAGAATTTATGGTACTTAGAGACTTTTTGATTGCAATAACATGCATAAAGTATTGTTAACTGTGCAGTAACTGCACTATTTCATAGCAAAATGGAACTAGGAGTTAATTTACATTTTGTCACCATGTTCTAAGAAATGCCTCTCCTCATCTATGAGCATGTAGCATGACATACCATAAAATTTTGTTCTAGCCTTAATGAGCATTTCTCTATGAAAGTCCCTGAAATTAACTTCAAACATATTGCTTATTGTTAATTATGTCCATTCTTATAAGTCCTGGGCTGGTATTTCTGCTTTCCACTATTTTTGTCAAAAAATTCTGAAACCATCAAGCCAATTTTATTTTATGTTATAAGGAGTGAATTTCCATTTTGGTGCTACAATCACTACAAAATAATCAGACTCAAATTTATCTCTAAGGCAATGATATAAAACAAGAGGGTGATGTGGTACTTTGACCAATATGTAATGGTAGTCTTTAAAAACTACTGTTCTCTGATCAGCCAGACACTGGAACAGATCTCTAAATGTGCTGCACTGCAACTTGTCAGGAAATACTAAAAGACACAGAAATATCCAGGGGATTTCTGGAGTCATTTGAGTTTCTTAGTTTGCATTAAAGTGGGTGTTCATTAGAACTATGATAAATAATTTCACATTTTACATAAATAGATTTTTTAAAAAACAGTAATTACCTTTGAAGTTGTTGTCATTTTTTTTAGCATTAGAATTCTCATTATAATTTGCTGACTGGTACCTCTTGGCTACAGCAGGAATAATGAATTATAAAAACACTTTACTGCAGTTGCTACATTCAGTTTCACAATGTAAGATTGTTCCTTTAGTATTGTTCCTTAAACATAAATTGTTCCTTTAGGACACTGGGGAATGGAGTTCTGAAACTCATTTTATTTATTTGTTAAGCACCACCAGTTTCTTCAATGATTAAAAAAACAGTTTACCTCTGAGTCATACCCTGGACTTCCCCCTTCTGTCCTGGCTGGTTTGCTCCAGGGGGTCTCCATGGTCAGGCTGGGCTCTCTCACCTGTGCTGGGGACACTGGGGAGGCTCCCTATCGCTGTAGTCTGCCAGGGATTCGATTGCTCTTCCAACACTGCGCTGCTGTTCAGCACCTGCTGCTGGACTCACAAAACCTGAGCAGGGATCTGCTAAAGGCACAACATCCTGGTGTGGAAATAAAGGGTATTTGTCCCTACTGGAGGGGTGAATAGATAGAATTTAAGGAAATAAGAACTGTTCTCTTTTCCAAGATGGCAAAACTGCGATTGCTCTCAAGATCCCTCATAACAGACATACACATCTCCTTCAACTTGGTTACCCTTGGTGATCATCTTGTCAACTGGTTCAACTGGCAAGGAAGTTGAGGACTTTCCAAAGGCACTTTTCTGCCATTCAGGTCCATCAGACAACAGTCATTCTCTTCTGTTTTCCTAGTGTGCAGTAAACTTAAAAGATGCAACTTGCTCCTTTTTCTCCAAGATTCTGAAGTCCCAGCCAATAAATCACAGTAAAAGCAGAGGCCATTATCCAGAAAAAACAGTGTACAGAAGAGCATGGCAGTGTTCAGGTACTGGATTCTTTACTGAATTCTCTGAAAAGAGATTTATTAAGTATGGTACAGAAAGAACTGGGCCATTGAGTGCTCAGCTTTTTTTCTGTGGCTTGGTAATGATGGAAAGCACCTCTTAGTGAAATTTCTCCTGGTGTGAAACTTGGTTCATGCCTACCACTGTAATGCAGTCCTTCAAGGGGACACACATAACAAATTGTAGTGACAGCTGAGAATGTTTTATATGCAGTGTGGGCACTGTAAGCCAACACACTGAAAACACAGAACTCTGCCTGATACATCCTATGTCCACTTTCCATCATAATTCTACATTTACCTGAGTGAAAAAAAAAAAAACTTCCAAAATTTTACTTCTACCAGTAACAAGCCTTTAAATGCCATACTGATGTCTGTATTTACTGATTCTTAGCAATTTCCATATCAAATATTATTAGTTTTACACTAAAAATTACATTCAGTGGTGCAGATTGATTTTATCCTCCCCATCTCCTTACTTCCTCCTGGAAAGCTTTAGAAAGAGACAGCAGGAGAGGTAAAGACATCGGACCTAGGTAAGGCACAGAATGGTAGACATCACAAGGATGGCTCTTGTTTTGTTGCATTCATCTTGTAGAATGAAATGCAATTTAAGCTGTCTTGGATTTTATTGACAGGGATTCTATCCTGTTTATCCTGGTAAGGGAATTTGCCAAGGAAGGCTGAATTACCTCCATTGTCAACATTGTGAAGTGATCCATGCCTAAAGAAGCACATGGATGAAGTGGTTTTGTGTCCAAGCTAGTCCTCTCTGCTACATCTGCCTTTTACTTTGCTTCAGGATTCCTGTGGGTTATTCTTGATTCTTTGACATAAAGAACTGCTTTCATTCTCTGGAAAAGTAACAATATACCAAATCTTCCACTAAAATGACATTTTTCTGTCAGACATTATTTGCTCCCCACAGAATTCCTTGTGTCTCTCCCCTCTTTTCCTTGTCTCCATCTTTCAGAAAATTCCTTCTCTCCTGCAGCACAGATTCTAAATACTCAAATGCCACAGGAGAATGCAAATGCCCTTGGATTCCAGACATTTTAATTGTCTTTTTGTAGCAGTGCAATGAAGATGGAGCAGCAGAGCTATGGATGCCCACATCAATGTCTAGTTTAGCACTCTAGTTCTTTAGCTCTGCAGCCAGGACTTCCCTGTGTCCTAGGGAGACATTTGATGCTTGTATCCCCATTCATGTGTGTTCTGTTTATGCTGGATATTATGTTCTGTGCCTTCAAGACTGGCTCTGAAGAGTGAAAGTTTTGGTTTCTTATCAGCTGCTCCCCCATGGCTGGTGGGACACACAGACGGGGCAGTATGTAGTGCTGCTTTTGCTTTTTGCTTTGCTCTTGCTTCTGCTCATTAGTTAGTTTAACTAAGCAATCCAAATTTTTCCTGGACTGTTTCTCCTTTCCCTTTTTTTGGACCGAGTCGAACCTGCTCTGGGCTGGGACCTGGGAACACCAAGAGTTTGCACCCTGTGGCTGCAGCAGCTGTCCCAGTGCTGGAGGGACTGAGAACAGAGTGACCATCCCCAAGAGAGACTTTCTGACTTTGTCATCTTTTTCAGAGCAGTGAAAGAGTGGTGTCATCTGGTATTGTTCATTTTGTGTGCTGGGGGGTGCTGTGCCTGTTAAATTAACAGGTTCTTTCCACTTCTCTCTGAGGGATTCTTCCTGAACTGGCTGGGGGGAGGGGCCGTGTGGGTTTGCTTTCTGAAGGGGCCCTCTTTTGGAGGTTTTCTCCCAAATTTGCCCTAAACCAGGACACCCTGGTTTATATTATTTTAAGAAAGAGCTGCCGGGAGCGCAGTTCCCCGTTCCCCTGGCCGGGAGCAGCCCGCGCTGCCGCAATCCTGGCTGCTCCAGAGGAGTTGTCCCTGGAACGGGGACGGCTTGGGACAAGTTAACCAAACCCAGCTGCGGGACGATTTCGGATGGCGCCGCGGCAGCAGCAGCAGATGTTTCCCTGGGCTTTGAGGATGTGAAAGCCTCTGCTCCGCTCCCCTCCCTTCCCTGCTTTCGCCAGAGGTGAGGGCAGAGCTGGCGCTGCGGCCAGGAAAGCCCCACGGCCGCCCCCGCCCGGCGCTGCAGGGCAGGGAAAGACGGTGAGCCCGCCCTGAGGGGCCGGGCGGGGCGTGGGGCCGCCTCCCGGCCCACCCCTGCTCCTTCACCTCCTCCTCCTGCCCACCCTCCTGCCGGCGACCCACGCAACCTGTTCCAGCACCTGACAGCCCTTTCAGTGAAGGCATTTTTCCTGTCATCCCATCTGAACCTCCCCTGATGCAGCTTGAGGCCATTTCCTCTGGTCCTGTCGCTGATCCTTGGGAGCACCCCTTGGCAGCCTGGCAATTTGAAGGCTTTACCCATCTATGCTCACCCAGGGGGATTGAACTTCCTTTTCCTGTATGAATTTGCAGATGGATGCAGGTGTAGCCATGATATTTTCTGAAAAATCCTTTCCTTAGGATTTTTTTCTCCGGAGAAGCTGAGAGGCCTCAGGAACAAAATGTAAACAATGGTTATCTGCTGCTGTGGAATGCAACAGGTGCGTCTGTGATTGGTCTCATAGAGTTGTTTCTAATTAATGGCCAATCACAGTCAGCTGGCTCGGACTCTTTGCCCAAGACACAAGCCTTTGTTATTCATTCTTTCTTTTTCTATTCTTAGCTAGCCTTCTGATGAAATCCTTGCTTCTATTCTTTTAGTATAGTTTTAGTATAATATATGTAATAAAATAATAAATCAAGCCTTCTGAAACATGGAGTCAGATCCTCGTCTCTTCCCTCATCCTCGCACCCCTGTGAACACTGTCATGTGCAGGAAAGCTAAAGGATTATTTAATTTGATTCCTTTCCCCTGCAAAAATGAGCAAAGACTGCTGGAGAGAGGGGTATTTCACCTTCCCATGTGCCAAAGGAGTTGCATGCCAGGGTGGGGGTAACAGTCTCTGCTTCCTAGTGAGGTTTGGAAATTCAAACACAGTAAATTGCTTAAGCTTTTTGGTAGTATTAAACTAGGTTATTTAATTGGTGTACATATGTGCTGGATCTTATTCTATAGTCTGGTTGTGATCAAAGATGAAATTCAATGTTCTACTTTCTGACAATAACGGGAAACCCACAAGCAGTATTTTAGTACATAGTCACTAAAACATCAGAGTATTTATACTGTCTTTGGTTTGAGTAGGCATGAAAGACATTGTCTGCTCCAGAAAAGACATTTCCATTTTATTGCACCAAAGTGTTATTAGTACAATCTGAGTTTCAGACTGATGTAAAGAACATAAGACTTTTAATTTTAGTTTGTTTATTTGTTGGGGTTTTTGTTTGATTTTTTTGTTTGGTTTGTTTTGTTTTCCCCTATGGGTTTTTTGTTTGTTTGTTTGTTTGTTTTGGTTTGTTTGGGGTTTTTTTGTTTGTTTTTTTGTTTTTGGGGTTTTTTTTTAACTTACTAATGTTGACAGTTTTGGCATTAAATTTGACCCTAACGGAATAATTAAACTTCTTGAGGACAATGTAGAGTGTGTTTCTTCAAGTGTCTTAATTACATTTGAGTTTTCTGAGACATCTAAAGGAAGTTTTGGTCTTACTGAAGAGATACTGCATTTTTAACTTTGGCATGCTATATGATAAAGAAGTTTCTTTTTGAACTTAGGAAACACATGAGTGGTGTATTTGTCAGAAAGAAAATATAGAGATCCACTTGCAAAACATAAAACAGCTTATATCTTGTAGGCTTTTTGTCTAAAGGGTTACACTTAGATGAGACAGATTAGAAACTGAAATTATTTCTCCTGTATGAGTTAAAAATGACAAGTAATAGTAATGGTAATATTTCTGCACAGCACTTAGCATGAATAGGCAATTTAGAAATGCCAGCTGTCATTAAAATACTTGGATCTAGAAAACCAATCTTGACTATTAGCATGATTGAGAAAAAGAATTTAAGTAAATAGAATTGCTATTAATATAATCTTTTGGTACAGAGATCTCTTTACTAAAACTATCTCAAAATATAATTACTTTAAAAAAAACTTTTGGCAGTTACCATGACTTAAATATTTTTCTATGACTTTATAGAATGTTAATTTCTGAATACATGAATTAAAACAATGCCAATTGAACACTATAATATAATAATGCATCAATTTATTAACCAATAAATTGACTGTTTAATTATTTAAGGCTCATTCTAAACTGTTTCCTGCCAATGAAGGTTCACACTAAATTTAATTTTCTGATACATTATTGTGAAGATACTTGATTTTGCAACTCTAATGCTGATTTTAAGGTGGAAAGATTCAGAAAAAAATATTTTATGAAATATTAGGCATAGGAATAATGTTAATTTGGTCTAATATATCCTGATTCCTCCTTTGGACAAGAAGTGGGAAGAGAGCCTTGTTTACCTGAAGCTGTTGTAACTTATTCCTCAGGATGGAGCAGGAAGGTTTGTTTTCCTGTGTGGGAACAATCCACATACTATTTTTCATCTTGAATTGAGGCTCCTCCAACATGCAAAACCCCTTAGAAATACAAGAGCTCAATTTCTCTGTGTTTCAGTAGTGTCTATACTGCTGCCCAAGTAGATTTTAAATGCATTGAACAGGATGTTAGCATTTTGCACTTGAATTTAACTCACTGCAGGCTTTTTTGGCCTGTTTCCATGTCATAAATTGGTAGCAAAGCTGTTGAATTAAGTCAGTCTGATTTTAAAGTTGAGCAAGGAATCCTCAAACAACAGGTACTTTATATGTCAAAAGTACCTTTTGAGGGCATGGTCATATAAATCTGGGAGGTTTGAACTACCCTGGACTTGGAGTAAATTGCCCCAGACTTCTATGTGTCTGATCACTATGTAAACTGTTTTTCTTCATATATGTTCTTCTGCAAAAGGAACTGCTGTTCATACTTTCTATAATGCCTGTAAAAAGCACAAGCCATTGAGGAATCAGACCCTATATATTTCTAGTGTATTTGGCTGATTAAAACACTTAATTAAGGCGTTAATTCAGAAAGTCATTTATTTTTTTTTTCTCAGAGAGTAGTGAAACAGAAGATTTTTCCTGCTGCTTGCTAAGGATGGGTTCAGACAGAAGAGATGGAATAATATATTTAATTACTTTAAAATGGGGTTAAAGCAGTTCCCTTGTGCTTCATTTTCTGTGGCTCTTTCTGTGGGACTTACTGAGTTCTTGATACTTTATTTTTTTCCCTATGGAATGGGAGTCTTTAACCTGGTCACATTCACTGTTTAAACAGAGAGAAGGGATGGGAAAATCATTTGTACTAGACATTGCTGCAGCAAGTGCCATTTCAATTCCAAAGGAATTCCAGTAAGAAATCTAAATAAAACTTTTAAAAAATAATTTGAAAGACTGTCTCAAATGTGAGGAAAGAAGTGTTTGAGACTTGGAATTCATTTGTGGACAGGAAGATTTGCAGAGTGAAATGGCTGCTATGCGAGTAAAATGTGTGTGCACATGAAAGAGAATTTAAGCTGATTTTCTCACA